CCTTCAACATGGCTTATGCTTTTGAGTGTGGCACACCCAAGATGTATTTATGTTGTTTTTCACATAATGTGCTACCCTTGCGTCAACCAAGCTCAGTTGAACCCAGGCGTCTGCAACTGTAACCAAGGTTCCCCTAAAATCGCATCCAATATAGGTGAATGCATCTCAGCCAGGGGCCTTCTCATAGCCATACCCATAAAAGACTGATTTACCTTTGACACAGATTTGGGGAATTTGTCCCTTCATTTGATTTATTAAAATGTTCTTTATAGCGGAACCAGTGTGTCCAACATTGCCATCCATAACCAGTATACCAACAACAATGGCACTTGAGTATACATATACTGCCTCAATCATAGTGTATGAGAAGACTGTGGATACGGTAGGTCTAAATAATAATCACTCATTGTAGTGTTAAATATTGTTATGATGGAAATTGCTATATTAAGTTTTTTGGTAACCTATCATATTAGTCCCAAAGTAAAAAAAAAAATAAAATATGCGTAAAAGAATTTGCATCAACATTTTTGAGAAACAATCCTGACAAAAAAATTAAAAAGCACATCAATGTCATATTTTGTTCCATTCATTCATTCCTCATCTGGGCCGTCTGGCGCTTGAGGCATAGCATTGTATTATTGTCAGAAAAACATAGTTGAAACCCCTTTAAATTTTGAGTCATTTAATTGAAAGTTAAAGCATTCTAGAATTATACTGATTGAAATCTGACGTATATTTGACTAATATTTGTCTTCACTACAATTTTTTCCACTATCGCTGTTTAAATTATGTTTCAATGCAACTAATGTAGCGAGTATGTACAAGTGGATGTACGAAGCTTGCTCAAATGCAGTGGTAACATAAGTAATATAGTCATACTATGAACTGTAGAGGGAGAGAATTAATGGCTAGACATGAAAAAACTTGATTCTGGTGTGCATGTACTTCACCATGCTCTCCAATGATGACGCTAGGCTTTGCAGATTTTAATACATCGTAGCCAGTTTTAATTTCCCATCCAGAGTTTTTACAGTTTGCATTCTTTGCCTGATAATTATTACTGGATTTAACAATATGTCAGTTCTGGACAGTGCTAGAGCTGTATATTTTGCTAAATGGGCCATTCCAGTTTATATCTGCAACCCCCTGTTGATGAGGTCGGATTTCCAACTGTATATGGAGAAACAGAATCTGGAAATCCAGACGAGTATGGAAAAAAAATTCTGGAAATCCAGGCAGTTATGGTTACTAAATAAAATATGGTCTAGCTTATCTCACCACATACCGGTTGATGAGGTTGGATTTCCAACACTCTATGACTAAAAAAAACTTGGATTTCTGACTGTATTGTGCCAGTATGAAATAGATAATGATGGTGGGACGAATGAGCTCATCAACACCGTGAATCAGGACTAGTTTGGATTTCCATTATCAGATATAAAATTTTGAACTTGGTAAATTAGCATATGATGAGAGTTATATTTGGAAATCCTACTCTGTATGGTGTCACAAAAGAACTCAACACCATAAGTAGGACCTATAGTTTTGGATTTCCATTACTGTATGGTGAATGGTGATTTGGAAATAAAACTTTGTATGACTTATACACCCATGGAAATTATACCCTGTATGAAGTAAACACACAAACTCATCAACAGGGGGGTGCAGATATAAACTGGAATGGCCCAATGTGGACAACAAGGGTGACTGGCAATAATGGTTCGGCCCTAAAAAGCAGCTATGTTACCATAAATGGTGACTTTACTGTTGTATATGGACATATAGCTCTCATAACGATTCAAGATGATATATTTGAACTATTCTGTACTAAACTATTATTTGTGTAAAATCTAAACCTTCGTCATTTATGATAATTATTACTGTAGGAATTATTATACACTCCAATTTGTCACAGATATCACATATCACTCACATATCACTCAATAATTTCAAGGATTCTTCAGCTAACAGTGTACTCAATTTGCAGTTCACTGATTCCGTTCAAGATGATTTCTCAAATGTGTTATCAGATGTGTTGAACGACTGGTGTCCCAAAGACCCTAGCAATTGTCTTGTAGATGAAGATGTGGAATTTGGGTGAGTTTGCCAAAGTCAGGGCGAATGAAATATTTTATGCTTGGAAACACGTACTCGTTTACACAACTGCCAGCTTCATCAGTAGTTTGTATAAACGTTCTTGTTCAAGTAAATACATGTGTATTATAAGTAGTGATGTACTTTATTTTACTTGGGGAATTTGAAAATAATTCAGCTGACCATTATATCAGAGTTAGAGATTCATAGTTAAAATATATGATAAATTTATACACATATTTGTTCAAATTACTTTGCATGTGTAAAAGTCAAGCATTTTTTTTTCAAACTGAATTCAACCAGCAGGGACTTAATTCAAGTTTAGCTATTGTAACAACTTTGCTTTATTGAAGCCCTGAGCACCTTGAATACCTAGACCTTGAAGACACCGATCAAGGCGTGTTGATGGACATCAGAGTGCTTCATCCTGACGTGAGTGGGGAATACGCACTGACAACTCAGCAGTTGGAAGAAATGTTAACAGAATATGAAGATCATATTGAACAGGAGATGGGTATTGATTATGAAGTCATCGATCGAAGTAATTATGTTGGTGATGATGATCCTGACGTTGATGGTTGGCTGATTTTCATCATAGCTCTCTGTTCAGCTCTATTTTTGTTTATTATCATTCTTCTGATAATATACTGTGTAAGAAGATGGAAAAAACAGAGGTATATTTCTTCCTTTTTTTTTTCTTTTCTATTTTTAAAATGTATTTACAAACCAAGTGTGGCCCTCATTTTTGATTACATCGCTGAAGTCATTACCTCTGTGCACCATTATTAGTCTGCTTACTGGTAAAGTGCAGAATTTGCATTAGGTATTACACATTGCAATTCATTATTGCATTTGCATCCCGTGCGCATAAAACTGCTGGTTGCCTGAACAAATTTTGCAAAAAATATTTACGTAAAATTTGATCCTTTATTCATTGCAAATGTGGAACAGTTGAAAGTGTACATTATTATTATGTATTAATTTTGTTATGAAAACACAGAGAGACTGTAGTATAGATAGTGTACCATCAGTCTCTTGCAGTATTCTGGAAGTTCTTGGACCGATTCCCCCAAACTTTGTACATGGTTGATAAAGGAGGGTACATGTATACATATGCCCTAAAAATTGTGACCAACTGGTGGCCATATGTGTAGAGTATTATGTGCAACTTGTTCTGGCCAATTCTATTCAAACTGTTGGCTTACTGAAGCAGATCTATTATTTTTTCAGATTTGTTTTTGAAATTGGCCTACTGGTGGCTGTTTTGTTCATCGAAAATAATTGTTTGTGAATGCTTATAACATAAGATTACAATAAGTTATTTCAGATTTGGTATAGGGGCAATATATTATTGGATGGAGATGGAAGTTGATTTTTGTCAAGATTATATACAATATGGCTGACCAACAGCCATTTTGTTTGAAAACAATTGTCAATTCTGTCCTTTTTCACACATTTTGGTTCATATTTCAAATTCACGAAGTCACAGCTCACAGACACAGACAATTTTGTTCTAGCGCATCAACAAAAGTTGATTTGTGTTGCATCCAATTTCAGATGGTTGCCTAGTTTAACCAAAATTGACAATTACTTGTCTTTTTTGCACATTTTGGCTTTATATGTCAAATTCTTGCATACCAATTAGCTTCGAAACTTGGTTCAAAGACAGTTGTGCTCCAGCTTATCAACAGAAGTTGATTTGCGTTACTATCCGCCATTTTGTTTGACCAAAATCTTCAATTTTGGCTTTTTTTCCACAATTCTGCATATATCTTAAATTCGCGCTGCCTGGTTAAGTTCAAAACTTACAACACACACAATTGTATTTTAGCACATCACTGATAGTTAATATGTGTCATCTTATCTGAGATGGTTGACTGGCAGCCATTTTGTTTAACGAAAAACTGTAGTTTTCATCTATTTTATTACCTGAGTATATTACCTGATGACTACTGCTGTATATGTTTATTCAACTTGTATCTGGTCAACCTCTAAAATCCTGCATAAATGTATTCAAATTAAACTGAAGCGATCAGGATACTAAATTATCAAAAATGT